CCAGGTGGTGGGCTTACCCAGTATGCTACAATGCCAGCCCAAGACTTAATTCTTCTGTTTTCCTAGAAGCTTTTCTTAGAGATGGATGTTCAGTTTTATCAAATGCTCTTTTGCATCTATCATGACAAAGGGGAGTGTGGACCTGTGATTAGCCTGCTAAAATGGAAATAATATCAATATGATTTCCTAAAATCAAATTATCCTTTTATCTATGGATCCTAGTGTCTTTTTTTTTTTTTTTGCAATCAAAAAACACCAACGTTCCTCAATAAGCAGCCTTGATTTTGTGCATCTGCAGGAAGCTATGATTCTTAATTGACACTTTTCCAGTTCTGTTCTGAAAAAGAAGCCTAATTCCCTGCGATTTTTAAAAAAAATTTTGTCTTTTTGGCCAGATTGGCTTACTTTTGCTAGAAGCAATAGAAGCTTTTTTGGTTTTGTATTTTTAACTTTCCCTTCTCAATTAAGCTTAGACCTTTCTAGATCCTTCCGTGGACTTGGGAGCCAGGAGATGAGGAGAAGCAGGGCGGTGGGAAGGGAGTGGCACTGAGGGCAGGGACCTGAGGTGAGGACCAGGAAGAAGACCTCTCTGCACCCTGGGCAGCCTGCAGAGGGTTGGGCACATCCAGGGAACAAGCCCTGCTCTTGCCAAGCCCCCGCTCCTGTCTTCTCTGTGGAGAGCTCCCACTCTTCATTTCAGGACTTCCCCGAAAAGCAGCAGCTTGCTCGGTGGCATTCACTCATTACCAGCAGAGAGGAGGTGCCCTCTCAAGCGCAGGGAGCCTCTGGGTGTGCTGAGAGGGCGAGCCCTTGGCCAGCAGGCCCTGCGCCCCTTCCCTCGCACCCACCCACAGTAAGCCCAGGAGAGCTTGGGGGCCCATCTGTCTGGGCAGACAAAGTCCTCTACCCATTTGGTGCACTGCGCAGGAGATTTTTTGGATCAGGTTTATTTTGCGCTCTGCACTGAGTCTGTCAGCAAGAGGTGCTTAGCTTTTTGCTGGTAGGGGCGGGGAACACTGTATAAATAATGAGAACTCAGAGAAACTTGTGCTGTTAACAGCCCTGCTCCAGTAAAGCAGAGTTTATTGTGTCACTGCCTCTGGGTGTGTTTTCCTGTGAAGGCCAGAAATAAAGCACTGGTACAAGCCACTCTCTCTCTCCCCCTCCCTCCCCTCAGGAGGATGCTAACTCTTCATTAAGGCTAAAGACAGGCTGCTGAATGGGCCTCTAATTGATCCTTGCTTTGCCATGTAACTTGTTCAGCATGCTGCCGTGTGACCATTCCCTGGCCCCTGGCACTGAGCTGAAACAGAGGGCCTCACTTGGTTTCCTCCTGGCCGTGGGAGCACAGGGTGAGTCCCAGTCTCCCTGGGCCTTTCTTTTCTCCTCACAGATCTTATCTGTTCCTCTCTGTGCAAGATTTCTCATGCCTCACTTTTCTTAGGCGTCTTTCTCTAGATATTACCCTACATGGCCATCATTCACCAACAGGCCAGACTGTGTCTCACAGGAGCTGTACATGAGTTCTGCACTAGGTTACAGAGGTGAACTTCACAGTGTGGGTCTGCCGGCAGGGTGCAGCCTGCACACACACACACACACACACACACACACACTGCACGGCTGGGCCGTGTTGCATCAAGCGTTGGAAGTGTGTGCTTCCTCGGTAGACCATGGATTCCAACACAACCCACTACTAACACACCTGGCATTTTTATCTGGCTCTTGAAGACCTTGACTTTGCAGTCTCTGGTGTACACCAGATGGAAATTCGGGTCCTTTGATTAAGATTAGAGTCAGCCAGCCAGTGCTGCGGCTCACTAGGCTAATCCTCCACCTGTGGCGCTGGCACCCTGGGTTCTAGTCCTGGTCGGGGTGCCAGATTCTGTCCTGGCTGCTCCTCTTCCAGTCCAGCTCTCTGCTGTGGCCCAGGAAGGCAGTGGAGGATGGCCCAAGTGCTTGGGCCCTGCACCTGCGTGGGAGACCAGGAGGAGGCACCTGGCTCCTGGCCTTGGATCGACGCAGTGCACCGGCCTTAGTGGCCACTTGTGGGGTGAACCACCAGAAGGAAGACCTTTCTCTCTGTCTCTCTCTCTCACCGTCTAACTCTGCCTGTCAAAAAAAAAAAAAAAAAAAAAAAAAAAAAGATTAGCGATTAGCGATCAGCCAACATGCTGTAAAGGGCCAGATAATTCAGCTCTGTGGGCCATACAGACTTGGGTGCAGCTGTTCAACACTTCCATTGTAGCAACAAGAAAGCAGCCATACATGATGGGTAACGAGTGTGGCTGTTTCTAATGCAACTTTATAGATGGATGTGAAATTTTTATTTTCATATCACTTTGTCCTATCACAAAATAATCTTTTGATTTTTTTTCTTTTCAAACCATTTGTTAAAAACCAAAAATAAGGATGGGATAGAGCATTCTTAGTTCATGAAAGGCCACAGGTGGCTGGTGAGTTGGGTAGTTGGGCTAATCCCTGATGTCAGTCCCCTACAGAGAGTTCCTCATGTTTTTCCAAATAATCCTAAAGAATGCAATGCAATGCAATGCAAACAGTCCTGGGGCTTTGGTAGTAGCAGCTCCGCTCCAGGCAGATGTTCTTGAAATGCTTGGAAGCTGACATGGAACAGTTCTGTACCCGCAGCTGACTCAGACCTTCAGCACAGCTTCCCTCTGACGGTCACATCTGTCATTTCTAGACGTGATCTGTTCCAGTCCCAGCCCACTGGAGAGTGGTCTTCTGGTCCATTCCCCACAATGTACTTGAAAGAAATGGGCATGTGCCATCTGGTAAGCTCAGCCATATTACCGCTCTTCCCAAGAAAACCCCTTCTGATGGGCTTCTGCGCTAAGAGCATTGAGAAAACCCTGAGCTCTCCCTTGTCCCTGTTGTCTTCACCTCCGTGTCATACAGCAGTGGGGAGAGGGTTCCCAAGACAAGAGAGCAGAGAGGTTTTGTGTTTTGTTTGGGCTTGGCTTTTGCAGCTTATCACTCCGTGAACCCTGGCCTGTCATTAATTTTTAATATGACAAGCTTAGAACATTTCCCCCAGAGACACTGAATAGAGGTTCCAGGAGGGGACCTTGGTGGCATCTAATTCAGAATGCAAGTTGCAGAAGTTTAATTTCCAATACCATAGCATTGTTGAGTGGTTTGGGGGACATTTTTTTTCTTCCTTTTTTGGCCCCTTGTGGAAAAGTCTTCACACTCATCCCCCTGGACAAGGCCTGACTCCCATTGGTTTGCTATCACCTGTTGCTGCCACAGCTTCTCAGCCCAGAGCTCAGGGAATTTATACCAAGATCTGCAGGTGCAGCATCCACTGCCACACATTTGTTTTCCCACACGGGTCTCCCGCAAGAACAAGCAGGCTGTCCAGGGTATTAGAACACTACTCTGCTTAGAGAACACAGTCTTGGTCATGTGTAGGCTATCACAAAGGTGCCACAGTTGGTTGGTTTTGTTTTGTTTTGTCCTTACTTTGACAACTTATCCGTCAGCACAGGTTAAGAGAAGCTAGGTGAAAAAGAATTTGGGGATGACTCAGATGCGCCATGCTGGACAGCTCCCAGCCTCTGCAATCTCTCTCTGGGTTCCAGGAAGGCGGGCCAGGAGAAAACATGCACTGCTCACACCTACCCAAGAGTGTCTGGAGAGCTCCGTGGGCGCCAGAGCCTGCAGAGCAGCTGCTCCTGGCTGTGCTCAGAAAGGTGTGAAGAGCAGGAAGGCAAGGGAAGTTCTCGTCTGAAGCAGCTCTCCTGCTTTTTTGCTCATGTGTCCTCCTCCCGCGTGTCCTCCCTGCCGCGTGAACGTGTGTGGCTAGGCAGCACGTGGCTGCATGTTCGAGATGCAAAGACAGAAGCAAGAATCCGTGGGAAGCGGGTGGAAGGGGCAGGGAGGAGCATGTGGAAATAGTGTCAAGTCCTCACAACCCAGGGGAGTGGCACAATGAGGCCCAGGGGCAGGCCGTGCAGTCCAGCAGTCAAGGTCAGGGTGTGGCTCTGCTTTCTCGTCATTTGGCCCTGAGGAAACCGTCTGACCCTCCCAACCTCCATTTTCTCATCTGTAAAATGGAGCTATTTTGTGGGGTGGCCTGTGAGAATTCAGTGAGATAACGCATGAGAAGCCGTTAGCTCTGTGTCTAACATGTTACTATAATAACGTTAGTTCTCTTGGGAGGGCTATGGAAGAATCTGCCATTGCTTAGTCTGGAGAAGATTAACAGAACACACTCCAGCTGTCTTCAGATACTTACGGGATTATTACATGTCAAGGGGACAAGGTTGTGCAAACACAATAGGATTTAAAATCACCAGAAGAGTGACAGAGATGCTCAAGACCAAGCCAGGCTGTTCAGTCAGGTCCCTGGAGCCTTTGCCTAGAGGTGCGGAGTGGCCGCAGCCCTCCCTGCCCAGTCACCTTTCATCCCCGCCATGCCAGTGCTCAGCCACACGGACCCCTGAGAGCTCACACTGGCAACTCAGCATAGTAAAACCCGATGGGCACAAAACAGCACGCTCATTTACTTAGTGGCGCAGAACAGGTGCAGTGTCCTGCCCGATGAGTTGGCTGGCATCAGTAACTAGGGTGGCTTGGGCACAGGCACTGCTACAGACTGGCGATCCAAGGCAGACACGGGCAGGGCTGGCTTCAGGAGTGTAGATGGCCACCTTCTGGCCGGGTCTTCCCACGACCTTTCCTGATGTTTGCATGTTTGTGTCCTAATCTTACTCCAACACCAGCCGCTGGACGCAGGACCACCCCCAAAGACCTCATGGACTGGCAATGACCTCTTTTAAAGACCCTGTCTCCAAATAGTCATGTGCTGGGGTGCAGGACTTGCAGGTCCCAGAACTGGGGTTCAGCGGGGGCGATCGGGATTGGGAGGCCGAGCTCATCCCTGATCCCTCACCTGCAAGAGATGGAGCCTTTGAGGCTCAGGGCTTGCCCGGTTCCCCTCGCGTGCTCGCTAACCTGTGTCCCGTCTCTCCTAGGTGAGCGGCCCTTCCCCTGCACGTGGCCAGACTGCCTTAAAAAGTTCTCGCGCTCGGACGAGCTGACCCGCCACTACCGGACGCACACGGGCGAGAAGCAGTTCCGCTGCCCGCTGTGTGAGAAGCGCTTCATGCGCAGCGACCACCTCACCAAGCACGCCCGGCGCCACACCGAGTTCCACCCCAGCATGATCAAGCGGTCGAAAAAGGCGCTGGCCAACGCTTTGTGAGGCGCTCCCCCGCCCGCCAGCCCCGCGGCAGCCAGGGAGGGACGGACGGACCCCCCCTGCCCCGAGAGGACACAGCTACTCCCCGGAGACCCACGGACCTGTGGCAACCAAGCCCTTCCTCCCCACCACCACCACGAGGCTCACTGGCCGCCCAGGAAGCCGCGCGCCCCCGACTGCCTCCGCCCTGCGTGGTTTCTCAAAAGCACACTGTAGCCCGAGATCAAAGTCAGCGCTTGGTCCACTCGCAGAGGCAGCTCTCAGCGCCGGTCTCTGACTGCGGGAGGGAGGGCAAACGCGGCCGGCCCGGCCCGGGGGGGTTTTCTCCTTTACTGTCCCCCCCTGCCCGGGGCGGGGTTGGGGAGGGGCGAGGCCACACCGGTGTACATAACTTCGGACTGCGTGCGCTCAGCGGCGGCGGCACCACGCGCGCACGGTGACCCGGGGCCCTTTTTGCTTGCTGTCTCTCGGAAGTGTTTTTGTTACCTTTTAAATGTCATGACGAGTGTGCTTCAGTTTGTTTATTAGCAAAACCACTCTTGAATCACGTGAACTGTGGAGATTTCAGAAACACACACGCAAACACACCACACGCCACAGCACAGCTGTCTGTGCAAGCAGGAGCGCATCTGCTGCAGCATGCTCTGTCATCCTGAGACTTGAACACAGCATCACTTAGGTCGCCGCGGGGGAGCAGAGCTGGGGTTTGTACCGCTCAAGGCAGACCTGTGCCGGGCCGCACCCAGTCCGGGACTTTGAACCCTTGCTTTGTAGGAATTGGACTTTCCCAGCGTAAGCTGCACTTCTATTTCTTAATGCAGAGGATGAATACGTTAAATACATGCTTTGAAGATAGAAGCAGGCTTTCTGTTTGGCACCACGTTATAATCTGCGTCTTTTACAGTACACACGTTTCCCTAAGAAATCCTGGCAGAGATGTGAGGGCAGAGTCAATACAACGGGCGCTAAAGGAGAAGGAGGGGTAGTGTTTTAAGAACTACAAAAAAAAAAAAAAAAGAAGAAGAAAAAAAAAAAGAAAGCATTTTAACTCTATTAACTTTTCCAAATTTTCCTGTCCTTTTGGTTATCATCATCTTAGTGTACCATGATGTCACTAAGAGAGAGGGCTTTTGCCTTTGTTGGGTGTTACTGGAATGGGTGTGAAACAGCCGCTAGCTCTGGGAACACCGATTATTTGGGGAAAAGGCTTGTTGGTTTCTTTCCTGTGGTCCGACAAAACTGCCACTTCCAGGGGCGAGAGCAGTGTCCAAGGAGAGGGAGCTGACACAGGAAGAGAGAAGGAAACTCCCTAGGGAGAAAGCACCCAGGGAAACTTATCTTGGTGACTCTGGGAGAAGGCAGGCAAAGGGAATGCACAAGTGTGGAGTACACGGCTGTGTCTGTTACACCGGTAGCCTCACCACTGTCTCTCTTGCATCTGGGTGTCTACCATGGCCTAAAACCACTACATCCTACACGCCATTTACCCGAAAACCTAATTCTGGCCTTTACGTGGTCAGAACAGCGAACTGAGTTTTCATAGTTAAAAAAAAGAAAAAAAGAAAAAAAAAAAACAACCTCCAATGAAGGGAGTCAGCCGTGATCATGGGGGAAATGTTTACATTTTTTCGTCTTCAGAAGTCACGCTTTCTGACGATGTCATCTGATAATTACAAACAGGGAGCTCCGGTGCACTCTGGTTCTCCGTGTGCTATCCCACGTGTCGTGTCAGCGCGGGGTGCCTACCTACCAGTGAACTCAGCGTGCCGGCCGACACTCGCTCCTCTGGCGCGCAGGGGCCACGGCTGACTCCGTTCAGCACAACAGCCATCACGAGCACCGTGTTGTTGTTGCTTTCCTTTTTTTTTTTTTTCTTTTTTTGGTTTTGTTTAACCAACGTAGTTGTATTAGTAGTTCTATAAAGAGAACTGCTTTTAACATTAGGGACTGGGAGCAGTCCATGGGCTAAAAAAGGAAAGTGTTTTCTCGTGAGAAAACATGTCAGGAAAAATAAAGAACACTTTCTACCTCTGTTTCAGATTTTTGAAACGCTTGTTTTAAACCAAATTTTAATTTTTGTGTCCAAAATAAGTTTTAAGGACATCTGTTCTTCCATACGAAATAGGTTAGGCTGCCTATTTCTTACTGAGCTCAAGGAAGGGTCTGCTTAGAACACTCTGGCTGCCTTTTAGTGAGTGAGGAGTTGGAGGTTGCCTAGCAACTTGCTAACTTATAAAAAAAAACTCAACTTTCCCTCACAGAAAGCAACACAGGAACTGAAGTCAGTGAAAGACAATCTTTATAGTATACGGGAGTAAATCGAAATGTGGCTTTTGTCAAGCACTTCGATGGATATAATTGCAGCAACTTGTTTAAAAAAAATGCACAATTTACTTCCCAAAAGAGTTGCTACTTGCCTTTTCAAGTTGTTGACAAACACACATTTGATATTCTCTTCTATGTTCTAGTAACGTAACATGTAAACTCAAGGCTTTTTATTCTTTGTGATAAATCCTGTTTTAAAACGTCACAAAACAGGAACCAGCATTCTAATTAGATTTACTATCAAGGTATGGTTCAAATAGGACTACGAGAGTTCGTTGAACACTAAAACTATGAAATAATTACTTTTTATATTAAAAAGACCATGGATTTAACTTGTGAAAATCCAAATGCAGGATAGTAATTTTTGTTTACTTTTTTAACCAAACTGAATTTTTGAAAGACTATCGCAGGTGTTTAAAAGAGAGAAAAGCTGTTTTATCTAATACTGTAAGTAGTTGTCATATTCTGGAAAATTTACTAGTTTTAGAGTTAAGATATCTCCTCTCCTGGGTTAGGGATGAAGAAAGCTCTTACCATTGTGGACTGATGCCCTGGCTTTAAGGTCTAGCTCTACATCATGCTTCTTTTGAGAATTATATTTGGTAGTTATAATTACAGAAACTGATTAGTTTGTCAGTTTGCAGATAGATTTAGCACAGTACTCATCACTCTGGATAGATTGAGATGTTCTTTCATCACGGATGAATGATCTGTAACACTGTAAGATACTGATCTTTACAACTGTTTAATCAGTTTTATTTTTGTACAGTCTTAGTGACCTAAGTTATTTTGCTGTCCCGTTTTTGTAAATCAAATGAAATTATCAAAGAGGATTCTGACAGTAGGTATTTTGTACATATGTATATATGTTGTCCAAACAAAAATAATAAATGGTAAAGATTAAATTCTTCCAGCTGTTCTGTGCTGTCAAAGGGGCGTATTTCACCATGGGGGAAGGAACCTCTTGGACCTGTGTTGGGTGATGGCTCTTTGATGATGAGCACAAAGGGGACATTACCCTGTCTCTTCCGACCCCTGCCGGGTGTGCACAGACCTCAGAGCAAGTGGCTGGGCTGGAGACCACTTGCAGCCACTGTGTTCTGTTGGAGAGGATCTCACAATGTGGGATCACTCACTAACTGCTCCTAACTGCCGGGGTGCACTAGGACCTGGTGAGAGAACGTTAGAGGCGCATAGGGCACTTAGGAGACAGCATAGAGGCTGAGGTTAGGACAACAGATAACAACATGCCAAGAGAAGACTAGCACTTATGTAGATACATACTAGCTCTTGTTTATTAAGCACCTGTTGGACGGTAGACATGGTGCCCAGGAGCTAGGTTCGCCTCATTGAACCCTTAGCACTACATGTTTCAGACAAGGAACTTGCCAACAGATACCGAATCAGTGGCACAGGCAGTATGCAAGGCTGGATCTAAATCCAGCCCCTGCCTTTCTGCTCCTCAGTCAGCACAGCAGGGATTTGCTGGAGTGTAGTACTCATTTGACCCCTTGTATGGAGCACCTCCTAGTGCCAGGTGCTGTTGTCGCTGTTGATAACCAAGAGAAAAGATAGCTTCCCCAGGTAGAAGGAGTTTGCATGTTGGCAGAGGGCAATAGATCAATTATCCATGCAACCTCAGACATTGGTGAGTATGAGGAAGACAGTGAAGCAGGTCACCCTGACTGATTTGGGGGTGAGAAGAGGCTACTGTAGTAGAATGAAGAGTGGGGAAAAGTCTCCCTCAAGAAACTGCAGCATTTAAGCTAGGACCTGCGTGGCAAGGCAGAGCCAGCCCTGCAGAGCCATGGCGGGCAGCGAGTTTGGGAGGAAGGTGATCATGCAGGATTCTGCAGGACCTGCAGAGGGCTGGGTGACCGGGACACAAACAGGATGAGAAGGGAAGAGGAGCCGGGTGGCTGGACCACAAGGGCCATATATTCCAAGTTGGCCGTGGTGTTTGATTTGTATTCTGGACTAGGGGAATCTGGGGAGATTGAACCGTAAAGACTGCTGTGTTCCATGTATATTTCAGCAAGCTCTTTCTGGGTATCTGGGTGGAAAGTAGATTTTAGAGGGACAAGAATGGAAGCTGGGAGATAAACAAGGAGACTATTGTGTTCGTCCAGGCACGAGATGACGGTCATCCCCACCACCAGTGGAAGTGGCAAGATGAGAATAGTTCCAAGAGAAGATACCAGAGGCAGAACCATCTGGACTGGGTGATGTCGGAGGGTGAGGGGCAGGGATAAAATTGTCCGGAAGTGACTGCCAGGTTTGCAGTCGGAGCGAAAGGCAGATGTTAATGCTGTGTCAGGAGATGAAAGACGGGCAGCTAGAGCAAGTTGGCAGGGGAAACAGTCATGGGTTTATCTCGACATCTGAAGACTGAAGCACCCGTGAGACATCACTTGAAGATAGCTAGAGAGTGATGTGGTATTTAGACTTTAGAGCTCCAAAAGGAAGCTTGCCCTGGAGATTTGGAAGTCATGGCCAGGAATGATAGTAATTGAAGCCAGAAAAGTGGATAGAATCACTCAGGGGTAGAATGCAGAGAAGCCATTAGAGCTTAGAACCTACGAGGACTGGGGGAGAGGGAGGCAGAAACGAAGTGCAGGGCACAGATAAAAGCTGGAATGGCAGGGAGGGCACAGTCAGACCAATGCTAACGCAAATCTGTCCCATTTACGAACCTGAGGTCACTGTGGACTTACTAGAGCCATCTCATTGGAAAGGTAGACGCCTGGTTGGGTAGGGAGAAGAGTGATCAATCAGGAGATGAAAAATCATGAATAGGAAGCACAGTCAATGCATGCAGAGCATGCAGGAAGCAAAACCAGACTCGATCAATACACAGCAAGACAGGAAACCAAAAGGAGGCACAAGAAAAACCAAAGCAAAATAAGGAAAACAGAATCCAGACGGCTCTTAAACCTCCTTATTAAAAGTTAGGTGCTCGGGGCCGGCACTGTGGTGTAGCAGGTAAAGCCTCAGCCTGCAGTGCTGGCGTCTCATATGGGTACCGGTTCAAGACCCGGCTGCTCCACTTCCGATCCAGCTCTCTGCTATGGCCTGGGAAAGCAGTAGAAGATGGCCCAAGTCCCTGGGCCCCTGCACCCACATGTGAAGACCCAGAGGAAGCTCCTGGCTTCAGATCAGCATAGCTCCAGCTGCTGCGGCTAATTGGGGAGTGAAATAGCAGATGGAAGACCTCTCTCTCTCTCTCTGCCTCTGCTTCTCTCTGTTTGTGTAACTCTGACTTTCAAATAAATCTTTAAAAAAAAAAAAAAGTTAGGTTCTTGAAGCTGGCACTGTGGCGTAGAAGGTTAAGTCTCTGCTTGCAGTGCCAGCATCTATTTGGGCACTGGTTCGAATCTTAGCTGCTCCACTTCTGATTGAGTTCCCTGCTAATGTGCTGGGAAAGCAGCAGAGGATGGCCCAAGACTTTGGGCCCCTGCACCCACATGAGGGACCTGGAAGAAGCTCCTGGCTCCTGGCTTCAGATCCGTCCAGGTCTGGCTGTTGCAGCCATTTGGGGAGTAAACCAGCAGATGGAAGATTTCTCTGTCTCTCTCTCCCCTTTTCTCCTTTTTTTCTCTCTCTCTCCTTCTATGTATATCTGCCTTTCAAATAAATAGTCCTTTAAAAAAAAAAAAAGTTAGGTTCTCAGTTTGGATCAAAAGCAAAATTCCAGGTCTGGCCTTGTGGCATCGC